CCCCATGATTCAAGGATCACACAGGCAGGCCATGCTGTAAGCTCTGTCCCTGTAGACAGGATGGAGTTGCTTCTGCATGCCTGCCTGCGACCTCTTCACCAAAGCCCTGGTCTATGGAAGGAGGGAGGATCCTGGTGCCAGGACCACACAAAATGTCTGTGGTTTCCAGGAAGGGATTGAGCACCTCCACCATCTGGGAGAGGGCCAACCAATCCATGACACTGATGCCCACCTCTCTCCCCCTCCCCCCGGGCAGAATGGGCATGGAGGACATGATGTCCTCCAAAAATGGCCTTCTGCTACACCAGGCAGGACACCATGGTGTAGGTGGAGTTCCACCTGGTGGGCAGGTCTGTCTGAAGAACATGGGTCTCCTGACCCAACTGCCTCCTGGAGGGCAGTTTTCAGGCTGCAGAAGTGGCCCACCAGTTGGCGGTATTGCTCCAGGAGTGCCCACATCTCCTGGGTGCCTGCGTTCCACTTGGGCTTGACGTGGCTGCCCAGGCCGAGGGCATTGTGCAACACAAGGTGTAATTTGTTCACCATGCAAAGTCCACCCCGTTCACTGCTGCCAACGTGTTCTGCCCAGCATCCATGACATGTGGCACGGGTCACCTCCCCCTCCGGTGGCCACTATTTCAGCTTGGACAGGAACTCATTGGCAATGTACCTCCCCATCACCTGAGCTTCCACGTGCTGCGCCTGCAGCAGAACTGACCTGTAGCCTAGGAGCTGCCCTGCCATTACTGGCTTCAAATCGGACTGGGGATCTTTGGAAACCAGTAACTCCTCAGAGTCCTCTAGGAAGAGGAGTGACAGTTCTTTTGGCACCCTTGGAAGCTTTGCTTCCATGCCTGCCTGCAAGGCCACCGGAGGAGGAACGATGGTGGTGGTGCCTCTGCCTAGCCTACGTAGTTTCACAGCCTTCTTCCCCTTCTTGCCCGTAGAGAAATCCTTTCAATTTTCTAACGCCTGCCAAACCAACTAAACAAATAATAAATCTTTCATTTTCTACCACCTGCCAAACCAACTGAACAAATAATAAAGCAATGGGAACTGGGGAAGGAAACTAATAGAGGGTCAGAGAGTGTGTGTAAATTTTATTATTAAAATGATGGTGAGGAGTAGTGGGCTAATTGTTTTACTGAAATGTGACCTGCCTAAACAAAGCCCCACCCCAGTGTAATGTAAATCAGGAAAAAGGATTCCAGTCACACACCAAATTTCCACCCACTCACTGTGCCTGAGAGACACACAAGCATCCAAAAATAAAGTTTTCAAAACTTAAAGCCCTGCCAGCTAAGTCTCGAACACACACACACACATACACACAACCAAATCAGTTTTAGGGGAAAGCAAAGTTTTTAAAACTTAAAGCCCTGTCTCAAACACACACACACACAACCAAATCAGTTTTAGGGGAAAGGGAAAGGGATTCCACAGTCACATACACCAAATTCCACCCCACCCACTGTCCCTGAAGAAGACACACAAGGCTCCCAAAATAAAATTTGAAAAACTTAAAGTACCCTAAGCTACCTGAAATCCATCCCCAGATTCCCAGTAAAGTTGATGATAAATAATGAAATAAATGAAAAAGAAAAATATGTTTACTTTGCTGCCACAAAAGTGAAACCACAAGAGCATCAGCAAGCCAGCAACTATTCTCCACTCCAGAGAGAATGAACAGAACTGGGGAAAGGCTGGACTGGGAAAGCTTATGAAGCCTTTGTAAAAGTTAGTTACATATTTCAGCAGCGCTATTGGTTGCTGGACATGCCAATCCATGATCTCTGTCCTGATTGGCCAGAGCTTCTAATTGGCACCAGCAAACTCAGAGAGGCCCCCAAAAGGGTAATGAATATAGACGAATATTAACGAATTGACAGATTGATGACTAAAACTGAGGAAATATTCACCAGTCCGTATTCGTCATGACTTATAATTTGATGAATACAGATTGACACATACAGTATATGACGAACGGCCTTATTCGTCGAAAAAAACTAATTCGTTTTTTATATTCTTCCCCATTTCTACTTTTGACTCTTTGTAATTCCTGTGCAGCTCCCTGACAATTACCCTGTGGGTGAAACTGAATCAGACTAGCCTTGACTACCTATTTGTGGCACTTGCTGTCTACAAACATCACAAGGCCACCCCAAGAAAAAGAAAGAAATTGGATTAACATTTGTGAATGAAGCCTTTACGAGTTATCTTTTCTGAGATTCTGGATCTAGAAATTCAAACATCCAATATAAAAAGTTAATTCTTCATTTCGGTTCTTCAGTTCATTCTGAACAATGCTTAAGATCTGTTGCCAAGGGGGAAGTAGTCTCTGCTTACTAAAGGTTTCCAGCCAGTACCTACAAATCTGTTTATATGTTTGGAGATTAATCCATTTTTAAATTTCTTTTAGTAGTCCTTTTTTATCTTCATGTTCTGCCATCTTCTCTACTGAATTAAAGCTACTTAGCAAGTAAATTTCCTTTGGAATTGCACAGCCTTAAACTCTTCATACAGAACTTATTGCTGGCATTATTTGAAAAATCTGTGAAATAAAAATGAATGCCAGCACCATGTAGGCCTATAAAAGTTTGATAATTGCTTAATTGGTCAATTTTTAAAAATTGTACTGTGGCACTTAGAAGGCTTGTGCTTTCTATTCCAGTGGGAGCTATCAGTGAAGACCATTACAAAAACATGATTTTCAATGAAAACGGGTAATATTTAGAGCTGCTTGAAATTTCTGAAGTGAATAGGCGATTTGCTGTTACTGAATGATTTCTTAGGAACAAAACAGATCTGTGCCAAAACTGCTCTTGGAGACATTTTTATTCCCTTATTGGAAAGGCAATTGACATTTTTATTCTCTTTTGTTTGCTTTGTCCAAATTACTCTGGTCCAAAAGTACTCCACTTCCAGTTTTCAGATGACTCAGAGTGATTCTGGCAGCATACAGATAGATTCAATTTGTCAAAAATCTCCATTTTAGGAATATGGGATATTACACTTCTTGTATCCATGATTCAAAATGCCAGGAAATGGCTGAATGTTGCTGCACAACATCATGCTAATGTTGCCAGAAGGAAAAAAAGGAAGCCAAGCTTTACATAGCAAAGGGCAGCCTGAATGTTGACAACATGAGTGGCGGCAGTCAAGATAGTCTACAGGATACCCTCTTGTGCTCATTTTACCATTCACAAATACCAAGCAAGGTAAAATGATAGAAGGTGGCTAATTTTCTCATCAATTAACTACTCCTCACCCAAGCACAAAGCAATTCTGCTATATTTGTATGCATGCATGCACACAGTCTAGTTATGGAGGGATCACAGAATTTATTTTAGCTTCTACAAGCTGAAGTAATAACTGGTCCAAGGCAGAGGTACTTGTATTCTTTTCCCTTGTAACACTTTAAGAACATTTTATTACCTATCTACTTTTAATGGAGTGAATAAATGTCAGGCATCCAAGACCTAAATTAATTTTCTTTGGAATTAGGCAGAGCAAACTATTTGCCTTGCAATGTTTAGTGCTATGATAAATTTATATCATGAACACAGTAAGGAAACAAATTTGATTTCAGTGTGACTAAGGCAGTGGGGGATGAGTTCATGCCCAGAACACAACACAACAGTTGAGAATTCTGTTCTCAAATAAGAATTTCCATCCCTACTCCCTAGTCAATCATATATCACATGAAAATAGAGACTGGCTAAACTAGCTAAAGCTAAAGGAAGATGTAACTCGGGGTTCAGTCACATGAGCAATCCATGGATTGTGCATGGAACAACATTATATCACATTGCACAGTCATACAGCCAATCGGATGTGACTGTGTGATGTTATCACTGGACATTTGAAAACTGAAGCCAATCAGATGCAATGAACATGATTAAGAAAATCTTTGTCTAAAGTGTTACAAAAATGAAGAGGACAATGGAGAGACGTTTCTGAAGATATTAAGATGACATAACCGGTGTACTTTCTTACTGTGGATTCTACTGTGTGGTAAAGTTTTGATGACTTTGGCTTAAACCCAGTGTTATGTGAGAACTGCAGTGCAATTGAACCCTCCTGCAGCAGACCTTAACAGCATAAAGAAACCAGCTCCATCATGTTTTCCACCCCTCAGGTTTGGGGGTTGCACAGGAAACTGCAATAAAGAGAGTTTGCCCCTCCCAATTTTGTTGGTGGAAGGAATTCTATCAGGTTATGGATCCCAGTGGATTCTGGACTTGGTATGCAAATAGGTGTTTTGTATTGGTAATGTAACTAGTAAGAATACCTAGCACTCATCAAAATCAATTTTGACAGGTGTTCTGCCCCTGCAAGGTGGAACAAAGGGTCAAGAATCAACCCAGGCCCTCCTCCTGGGTGGGTGGGGCTTTAGAGTGATGTAGGGGGTTGGTGAGTCTGCTGTGGGCCTATAGGAGAGGTTCATAGATGCCGGGGTCCCCCGTGACCACAGCGCGGCCTCAGGATTGGCCTCGAAAGTGACGTGTCACCCCCGTGGCCCTGTAGGCCAATGGGGAGAGGTTGGAGGGGTTTGGCTAGAAAAGGGATGGCTGTAGAGCATGCCTTGGCATGCCCTTAGACTGCCTGCAGCTGAAACTCCACAGCGGTTGCTGAAACGCCACAGCTGTGATATTCGGGTCCTTCTGCACATGCTTGCCTCTCTTTGCAGAGACTGGTGCAGCTTGGAGAAGATGGAGGACAAGGAAAACCAGCTCCCCAGGACAAGCCAAAAGGCCCCGGTGAAATCCAAAAGGTGCTTGTGCCCCCAAGGTTACTACCAGGGGCTTGTGGGTTTTGTCAAGCCCCTGTGCCCCTTAGGACCCCCTGCAAGTCTCAGGGGATGCTGCCTGAAGACCCAGAAAATCTAAGAAGAAAATGCAGGTCTGCAGAAGACCTATTTGTATTTACCACAAAGCCAAAGCAGAAGCTGAAATGCACAAGAAAGTTGGCCTGCACCCTGATGTGGGGTGATGAGGAGGATCTTGAGCTTGAGAATATTCCACCAACATTATTTGTGGTCACTGTTGTATACTGTAACAATAAATTAAATAATTATACCTTCTAAATAGGAGACAATTTTAAAGCAATATTTAAAAAAATATTCTGTTTCGATATAGATGTATAAACCTTACTTATGATTTCCACTTTTCAGTTCATTCTTATGTTATATATAGAAACTAGGCTTTCTCACTGCAGCAACTCAAATATTCTCCTCGGCTTTCACTTGAGAATGTGCAGTAACAAAGGTTGCAACTTAAAGACAATGTGCCACTATTAAAAGCATCAGTGCTTTTAGAGAGGGTTAAGTTGTATTTCCACCTTGTATTATATTTGATTCCACACTGATGTGTGCTCGAAGATATTGAAGATTTACCAAGTAATATTTCTACATCATCACCTTAACCAATTTTCAACCTCTGTTGCTCATTCTGCAAATTACAAAGAGAAAACACCCACTCAGCAGTATTCATTTATAATAGGTTAAAACAATTATTTATTGCAAGGATTCAACACAGATTTGCAGTAAGGTGAAAAAGAAAAATATTTCAGTCATTTCTGTTTCCCAGTGAAAATCAGTGGACAGCATGATCACTGAGATTTCAGACATCTGAATTCACATCAGAATCGGGGCAGATCAGGAGCAAATGGGTCCAAAACTAAAAGTGCTAAATTGGGCTCCAGAGAGAATTGAGAGGGAGAGCTAACGGTACTGAATTTCATTTCTGAACTCAATTCTTGTGCTAATTTTCTGCTAATTTCTTGAGCTAATTTCAATATTAGGTTTGATAAGTAGGTTTGAAGTAGAAAGGAACAATAAATTGAACAGTACAAAACCCCCACATTTTAGTAAAATTGATTTAATACTATTCAAAGTTAAAAAAAAATCCACATTTTTATACCCAAGGCCTTTTCCTACAGTAGAATCTATGTATGTGTGTGTGTGTTAAAACCCATTTTGATTTTCCAGGAATCACCGCATAGAGCTTTAAGCAATATTCTTCAGATAGAGGCTGATCAGACCTTAATAATAATCAGCAAAATAGACAGCTCTCATAAGGCTTATAGACTTTTGAAAAAAGTTTGCAGCTTAAAGACAATGTGCCACTATCAAAAGCGTCAGTGCTAAGTGCTAAGTTGTATTTCCACACTGATGGGTGCTCAATGATATTGAAAATTTACCAAGTAATATTGCTATATCATCACCTTAACCAATTTTCAACCTCTGTTGCTCATTCTACAAATTACATTCTGCAAGTGTTGAGATTGCTGATCATGTCCTGCCCGTCCAGCATAGTTAGTCCATTTTCCTGCAACAGAAAGGGAAAATAAGGGTTTATTTCTTTGCAGATTCACATCTAGTTTAAGTGAAACTCCAACAATTGCACGTGTAAAGCAAAGCAAATGGCTACATAGGCTAGCTTTAACCTAGTGGCACTCATAAAAGTAAAAGCCAGCACTCGCTTGTCTAAGGCTTTGGCAGCTTCACGAATTCCACAGGCTAATAGTGATATAGTGATGAAATGTTTTGAAAAACTGGATCAGAGTTATATTACATCATCTCTCCCTCAGAGTTTTAATACCCACCAGCTTGCATATACAGCAAATAGATCAATGAGCGGTGCTGTAGCTATAGTCCTTCATACTGCATTGTCACATGTAGAGCAGTAAGGGCTGTATGTACAGCTGCTTTTTGTGAAATTCAGCTCGGCATTTAATACCATCTGCCCTCAGAGGCTGATGATTAAACTAAGGGACTGGGACTTCTATATTCCACTTACAGTATATGTGGATACAGTTTTTTTTTTTTGTCTGAACGCAGTCAGAGGGTTAGAGTAGGTCATTATACATCTACGATTCTCAACCTTAGTATTGGTTTACCACAAGGATGTGAGTTGAGTCCCCTGCTCTATGCCCTCTAGACATATGATTCTATTTCTGTTTATAACAGCCATACCATCATTAAGTTCACAGATGATACCACCGCAGTGGGGCTCATCTCAGAGGAGAATGAGTCTGCTTATAGGGATGAGGTGGAACGATTGATTAAATAGTGTCGTGAGAATAACATGCTTCTAAATACTTCAAAAACTAAGGAGCTTGTAATAGACTATAGGAAAAAGGGGATGGATTTCCACTATTATTCATCTGTGGAAACTGGGTAGAAAGGGTGAGGGTTTTTTTTTTCGCGTGTCCATATTGAGAACTTGACTTGGAACATAAATACCTCAGAGGTACCTCAGAGGTACTGAAAAAGGCTCAACAGAAACAACAGAAAAACCTAAATAGCAGACACATGTGCCATGTGGAAATATTAAAGTATTTCAGCTTTTTGCTCATAAACTCCTTACAAAATTCCAACATAATTCAACAGCGACAAAATTCATTCACATGCAACCCTACAATAAAGTCAGATTAAATCTTAACTGAATTTAGCAAAGTTGTCGCCCTTGGACAAAAACTGTTTTTAAGTCAATTTATCCTTGTTTTAATAGATCTATATCGTTTTCCTGATGGCAGTAGTTCAAGCAAAGAGTGTCTAGGATGGGGGGGGGTGTTCCTGCCCCACATTGGAGGAACTGTACAGGTCCTGCTGTTGTGTGTGTGTTCCTGCCCCACATTGGAGGAACTGTACAGGTCCTGCTGTCTTGAAAAAAGCACAAAATACTATAAAGGGCACCCCCACCCATCCTGGAATATTCTGAAAATATTTAGCAAACAAAAGTAACATGGAACAGAAAGCCTAAATTGAAAATGTGAAATGTGTGGAGAAGCAGCAGAAATGTGTGCTACATATAAGAAAATTCAGGTGATACCCATGTTTCAAGGTAATGATGTAAGACATTCCTCTCTCAATGTCTACTGCCCTACATTAGTAGTAAGAATACCTAGCACTCCTCAAAATCAATTTTGAGAGGTGTGCTGCCCCTGCAAGGTGGAACAAAGGGTCAAGAATCAAACCAGGCCCCTCCTCCTGGGTGGGTGGGGCTTTAGAAATACATTGAAATGTAGCAACAATTAAGTAATTCTTAAAAATTGATGTGAGGCCAGTGTTGCAGCCATTTAAAGTGCAGATGAATTGACAGATTGATTCATTGATTCGTCGATGAATATTCGTATATTCGTATTCGTTGATCCGTTAACCTTGAGGAATAATGGATCAAAACAGATTGCCATTTTTTTATTTGTCCACATCTCTAGTTAGAGCATATTTGAAATAAGTAGGATTGGTTAAAAAAAACACCTTACAGTTTTCTTGGTGTATGATAGCCTAGATCAGTGGTTCTTAACCTTAAACACCTTACAGTTTTCTTGGTATATGATAGCCTAGATTGTTCCAATGTCAATTTGCCAATTGAGTGGCTTAATAAGCAAACCACTTCTGGATATTGGCAAATTAATCAAGATGGATGGGATAAATTAATAGCCCCACTCACCTTGCCTATTTTGCCTCATCGAGAAACTCAGTGAGACAAAATATATATTTCTTTAAATATCTGACATGATTCAGCAATATTCCCCTGCCCACTTCCTCTGCCGAGCAGGGAGAGTGATTATTAGCCAAGGTGTGTTGTAGGGGGTTGGTGAGTCTGCTGGAGAGGCTTTTCTCTCAGTCCTGCCACCTATTCCCCCCCGCCACTTCCTCTGCCGAGCAGGGAGTGTGATTATTAGCCAGCATGGGTGTTAAGATCACCAGGAGAGGCTTTTCTCTCAGTCCTGCCACCCCCACAGGTGCATCTGATGCGGACACAGGAGAGGGCCTTCTCTGTTTCTGTTGTTCCTAGACTCTGGAACTCCCTCCCGCAGGAGGCCAGGCTGGACCCATCTTTGTTTTCCTTCTGCAAACAGGAAAAGACCTTTCTCTTTAGGCAAGCCTTCCCTCAGTAACTGGCAACCTGTGTTTGAATTTTAGAGGCATCATCATTATGTTTTCCATTTTGGGTTTTTTTTCTCTCTTTAATATTGTATATATATTGTTCCTAGCTTTAATCATGCCTTTTAATGATGTAAGATGCTTCTTTTTACTCATTATTCTTAGCTTGAAATACCATATTTTAACAATGTTAACCATTGCTGTCTACTCATTGTTTTAAACATTAAATATTGTCTTTCAATATTCTAAGCCACCTTGGATCCTTTTCAAGGAGAAAGGTGGGGTAAACATTTTTAATGAACGAATTTGCCAATATCTAAAAGTGGCAGGAGCCATTCCAAAGCAGCTGTACTAGTTTGCTCCCTGCAGATATTATAGCAATATTTTAGATACAACTAGGACCAAGAAAATTTCAAATTTAATCAAAGCATTACAGCAAACAATCCAAATCTAAGACTCTGACAGGTTTTCATTTTTGTTTTATACTAGCTACACACCACAAAAATCATGCCTAGTTTGGCCCTTGATTTTTATTTTTACTTCAGATTTAGTTTTCATTGTTCCATATGTAGGGAATAACTATAATCTTTCCATGTTTGGCTTTCTAATGCTTCCACATCGTTGCTAAATCATCCATGATTTCCTCAACTGAGAGAAGTGACTGGCAGGCAACAGACAAACATAGCATAGAATGACGCTACTCTGCTAGTCAGTAGTTGTCACAGGGTTGTTGTTCCACGCATGAAATGTTACTGTGTGGGACTACAACTTTCAGATACCTGAGCCACACAGAAGAACATACCCTTCTCCACCTTTGATCCACTTACCTTTTTAAAAATGGCTTCCCATCCTGAGTTAGATGGGATCTTTGTAGTTGGAAAAATGGGGAAGGGGCAGTGACAAAGGTGAGGAACCTCTTGTCTGGTCCAGGAATGATTGTCAATATGGGGCAGATGCCTCCAAACAGCCACAAGGGGAGGGCCCTGGAGCCATTGTTTCCTTTAGAGGGCATCAGCATCAGCACTGTGAAGTCACAATGGGCAGTGATAATCAAACTAGTTAATAGTCTCACCCACTCTGCCTGTCACACAACTGCCACTCTGTCATACAGCTGGTATTAGAAGGCAGTTAAAGGAGAGGCCTCAACAATCACCTACACTCTAAAGCTGCTGGGTGTTCTCTTCTCAGGTGTGTGTGTGTGTGTGTGAGAGAGAGAGAGAGAGAGAGAGAGACAGACAGACAGACAGACAGACAGAGATTTCAAAAAAGCATAAAGCCAGGGGAAGCAGGCTTAGTCATGCATGGAGTACCTGCCTTCACTAGCTGATTCTTGACTGCTTTGGCATCATTCTTGTTGGTTGCCTATCACAGTCTGCCTTGCGTTTTTTATTTTTGAAAACTAACAAACACACTGCCCAAAACACCTTGCAATGAATTGGCTCCAATTTGACTGTGGTGATTTCCCCTCTCTAGGCCACTTCTATTCACACC